ATGTGTGGGGTGTGGGGTGTATGTGTGGGGTGTGGGGTGTATGTGTGGGGTGTGGGGTGTCTGCGGACTCGGGTGGTTTGTAGGAACTTGGGATCGTATTGTTCGGGATCGGGAAAAAGCTCGCAGCAGAGTTTATGTCCTGCTTCCAAGTTGTCTGCAAGAGTGCCTCCGAAGTTTTCCAAAAAAGCAGCTCCTCCTCTCGGAAGTCGAATTATCACATAGTTTCCCGTCATCAGTTCCGTCACTGTCTGCAGCAGCTCCCGCAGGTACAACTTTATGTACTCCCTGCAAGCAGCAGCAGCAGCAGCAGCAGCAGCAGCAGCAGCAGCAGCAGCAGCAGCAGCAGCGGCGGCGGCAGCGGCGGGGAAGAATGGGGTTTCGGCTGCGGGGGCTGTGGGCAGCAGGGACCGGTGGCAAAGGGCAGCAGCAGCAGCAGCAGCAGCAGCAGCAAACAAAGAGCTGCAGAAGGGAGCAGCAGCAGCAGCAGCAGCAAAAAAGCGCTGCAAAAGCGAGACAGCAGCAGCAGCAGCAGCAGCAAAGGGAAGCAGCAGGGAGCAGCAGCACTGCCAGACAGGAAAAAAGCAAAAAGAAAAATTGGAAGTGACAAAAGAGGAAAAGAAAAAAGAAATAAAAAGAAGAGAAAAATAAATTGATAAAAACTAAAAGAGAAAAATGCGAAGACAAAAAGGACAAAAAAGGCAAAAAAGAAAATAAATAAAACAAAAACAAAAAGCAGAAAAAAAGAAGACGCAAGGGGGCCAGCAGCAGCAGAAAGAAACGGAAAAGGAGACAAAAAAAAGAAAAAATAAAATTAAAAAATTAAAAAATTAAAAATTAAAAAATTAATTTATTTTAATTCCACCTTATTGACTGCGGAGACTGCTGCACCAACTGGTCTTCTATTTCTGCAATCTTCTTTTGAGTGTCTCTACGCTTGCGGCCCAGCCGCCTCTCCAGCAGACTCAGCTGCTCAGACAACAGGCCCTGCAGCAGCAGCAGCAGCAGCAGCAGCACGGATAGCAGCAGCAGCAGCAGCAGCAGCTGCAGCACGGATAGCAGCAGCAGCAGCGGCGGGGCTAGCAGCAGCAGCAGCGGCGGGGTTAGCAGCAGCAGCGGCTGGGGTTTGCAGCGGCGCGGCTAGCAGCAACAGCAGCGCTAGGGTTGTTAGCAGCAGCAGCAGCAGCAGCAGCAGCAGCAGGGTTAGCAGCAGCAGCAGCAGCAAAAGCTGCTGCTAGTGACTAGAAAATGGGGTGCAGCAGAAGCAGCAAACGAATAAACGGCTGCGGAGCAGCAACGCGACCAACAATGGCCACAGCAGCAGCAGCAGCAGCAGCAGCAGCACCGCGACAGCCAGCAGCAGCAGCGCAACAAACAAAACCAGCAGCACAGCAAGCAGCAGCAGCAGCGCAACAACAACAACCAGCAGCAGCAGCAGCAGCAGCAGCAGCGGCAGCAGCAGCAGCAGCGCAACAACAAGAACCAGCAGCAGCAGCAGCAGCAGCAGCAGCAGCAGCAGCAGCGCAACAACAACAACCAGCAGCAGCAGCAGCAGCAGCAGCAGCAGCAGCAGCAGCAGCAGCGGCAGCAGCAGCGCAACAACAAGAACCAGCAGCAGCAGCAGCAGCAGCAGCAGCAGCAGCAGCAGGAGGAGCTTGCCTGGAACTTTTGGTTGAGTTCTCTTTTGAACTTGGAAGGACTGAAGTAGTCGAGAAGGATTTGCTGCTCGGGGGAAGGCTCGAAAGCTGTCAGCAGCAGCTGCTGCACCTCTTTGAGGCCTTTTTGCATTTGCTGCTGCATTGCTTCTTTGCGGCTGCGGAAGTCTCCCTTTTCCTTTTCTTCCAAAGACAAAGAAAACAACTCCAACAGATACAAAGGCAAACTCTCCCCAGAAGCGTCCTGAGCAGCAGCAGCAGCAGCAGCAGCAGCAGCAGCAGCAAAAGCAATAGCAGCAGCAAAAGCAATAGCAGCAGCAAAAGCAATAGCAGCAGCAGCAGAAGCAATAGCAGCGCAGCAACAGCAACAGCAGCAGAAGTAGCAGCAGCAGAAGTAGCAGCAGCAGAAGTAGCAGCAGCTACAGGAATAGCAGCAGCAGCAGCAGCAGCAGCAGCAGCTGCTGCTGCTGCTGCTGCTGCTGCTGCTGCATTTGGGCGTGCCTGCTGCTGCTGCATTTGGGCGTGCTGCATTTATCCAAGACAGTCGCTGCGCAGCGCATCTGAAGGCGCTTCGAAGCAGCAAAGGCAAAGTGGAGTAAAAGTGGCATAAAAATGAAATAAAAAGAAATAAAAATGAAATAAAAGTGGAATAAAAGTGGAATAAAAGAAATAAAAGTGGAATAAAAAGAAATAAAAAGAAATAAAAAGAAATAAAAGAATTAAAATGCAAAAAAGAATCCAAAAGAAGCAAAAAGCAGCAAAAAAAAGACAAGTTCACCTTCACCGCGCGCTTGCGGACGCGCTCCAGCAGCTGCTGCTGCGTCTTGACGTCGCTTTTTTCGTTTTGCAAAAACTCGCGAGCTCGAGTCCCCACAACGACAGTTTGCGCGGGACTGAGTCCGAGGCCTGAGCAGCAAACCTAGTTGCTGTTTGCTGCTCTTCATTGGCTTCATTTTGGCGTTTGTAGCTCCCTGCTGCTGCTGCTGCTGCTGCTGCTGCTGCTGCTGCTGCGGCTGCAGCGGCAAGCGCGGTGCACGCAGCACGCGCAGTGGCGGCGCCACCGCAGGCAGCAGCAGCAGCAGCAGCAGGAACAGCCTCCTCTTCCTCCTCCTCAGCAGCAGCAGCAGCAGCAGCAGCATAATCAGCAGCAGCAGCAGCAGACCCTTGGGGCTGGGGGCGAGGATGAATTCCCTGAGAGTCCAGGGCCAGTTGGCGGGGTCGTCGCTGGCCTTCTTCACCAACAAGTAAAGATCGTTTGGGTTTTGCTGCACATAAGAGCGAACCACCGCGCGAGTTGCTGCTGCTCCTTGCTGCGAGTCTTCCTTCAGCCCCGGCAGGTCCACGAACACCGCGTGCACCCCTGCAGCAGCAGCAGCAGCAGCAGCAGCAGCAGCAGCAGCAGCGGGGGTGGGGGGGGAGGGGGCGGCAGCGGGCAGGCAGCAGCAGCAGCAGGGATGCTGCAGCAGCAGCAGCAGGCATGCAGCAGCAGCAGCAGGCATGCTGCTGCAGCAGCAGCAGGCATGCAGCAGCAGCAGCAGCAGCAGGCATGCAGCAGCAGCACGCATGCAGCAGCAGCAGCAGGGATGCAGCAGCAGCAGCAGCAGGCATGCAGCAGCAGCAGCAGCAGCAGCAGGCATGCAGCAGCAGCAGCAGGGATGCAGCAGCAGCAGGGATGCAGCAGCAGCAGCAGCAGCAGCAGCAGCAGCAGGAAGTCGAACCGTTTGGGACGGCGATTTCGACTTCGAGTTCTTCGCTGCTGATTGCTTCTCCTTTGCTGCTCATAATTTCTTTCATTTTGTTTTGCATTTCTTTTATGTCTATTTCTTGTCCCGCGAGGAAGCAAGACACTTTGTTGCTGCTGCTGCTGCTGCTGCTGCTGCTGCTGCTGCTGCTGGGCCGCAGCATTATCACCACTGGCTGCCGCGTCCCCGTGTCGGTGCTGCTGTACCCAATGGGGCCCCCCATTATGTAGTCTGCATGCAGCAGCAGCAGCAGCAGCAGCAAAACGTCAAACCACTAAAACCCGCATGCACGCCTGCTGCTGCTGCTGCTGCTGCTGCTGTTCGGGGAGAGCTATATATGGCTGCCAGAGGAGCAGACAGAACTGCATTTGCATCCCACGCTACCTCTGCTGCTGCTGCTGCTGCTCTAAAGATGCAGCAGCAGCAGCAACAGCAGCAGAGTCACATTATGAAGCAGCAGCAAATTGTGCAAGCAGCAGCAGCAGCAGCGGCGAGAGCGTCGAAGCGCCGACCAGCAGCAGCAGCGACAGCAGCGCCCTCACAAGCCGCAGCAGCAGCACACACCAGCATCACCACACATCAGCAGCAGCAGCAGCAGCAGCAGCAGCAGCAGCAGCAGCAGCAGCAGCAGCAGCAGCAGCAGCA